CTGTCGTTATCACTCGGCCGTTCTGCAACAAGGATGTCTCTGTGGGCGTCTATGAACTCTTGGCGACTCACTTCCGTTGGAATGTCTGTGACCTTCTTTAACTCCAAATATCCCTCAAGTCTGATAACAGAATGTCATCAGATTCGTCACTGTCGGATTCAGTCCCACCATCCGTCAACACCTTTTCTGAAACAGTTCTTCATTGATGTTACATTGACTTGCCGCAACGCTCGGCGTACCATCTCAATTGCATTCAGTATGCTTATCCCATGGTCTTGTTTCTTTTCAAAACTGGATAGCATACTTGTCATCATCTACCGCTTGTAGTGTTGGTTCAGAGTGTAGTGTTATTCCTGTTGACGAGTAGTTTAGAAAGCTTGCAATACTGATTCCGGATTATCCAGAGTGCCATATGGTCCTTCCAGTTACCTCACGACAGTGTCAACTATAGCCCTCTTACCTAGTGAAAGAAGAACACCTATTCACTTTGTTGGGGACTTCCTCTCTCTGGGACAGAATAGCAGTTGGGTAGGCATTATCTCGAATAAGGCAACTCCCGTTTCCAAGTTTCAAAGGATGGCTCCATTTTCGGTACAGGGGTTAGCTTACCATAAAGAAGGCAGATAGATAAGGACACATTCCTGTAAAAGATATCTGAGGCATCAAATTTAAATGATTTCAAGAAGAGTGAGGAAAAACGTCTCTCCTCCAATGTACCACCACAGGTATGTGCACGAAATACTACTGGTAAGACAACAAGGAGTAGGAGTGAGATAAGAAGCGTACGTAAAAGGAAACAGCGAGAAGCAGAGATAAGCCGTGGAATATTAAATGTACTACTATATCCGGTGACATTTACATTCCCGCAATATATGTCATTTTCAACTCGTTCCATCTCATGGAGTTCCTTTGTTGTCACTATTTTATACAAGAACCTGAACTGAAAGTCTAGTAGATTTACATCTTTAGAACACTTCTTTCTAGGAGATTTCTTTGTCAAACATTGCCTGCCATTCATAACAAACCGAGATTACAGATTTAATAAGTTGTTCATAATACCATTTGGTCCTTCTGTTGGTTTCAACCATTCGTCCAGGGTTTTTTTTATAAAACGAATCGTAGACTACAAGGCATTAACAGCGTCCTTCAAAGACTGTGGTATGCTAAGAAATAATCGGGCATGACCATTAATGGGGTTTTTTATCCGTGAGCTCTTTGGACCTAATTTCTAATAATTAATGTTGAGTTTTTACATTGTGACTTAGCCACAGGTCTTGGGGTGTGAGTGAGTGAGTATGGCTTTTAGTAATATTCCAGCAATATCACGGCGGGCACAGGTCTTGGGATAGGATTTAATCATTAATGTCAGAGTTTGACTAATACTTTCTCCAGAATGTTCGCCATAACTACAAAGTATCTTTCTTATCTATCTTTATTTATTTTGTAAGCTACCAACATGAGTGCAGCGTTATATAACAAACAAACAACATCTCTTTTTTCTTTGTAAGAAGGATTTTAGTATTGGGGTTTAGTACATGTCTTCTTTGACTTGATAATTTTAAGGAATACTTATTTTTTTTATAAGCTTAGCTATCTTTATTTTATCTATTTTGTGGTTCCAAATGAATTTATAATAGTTCTGGGTGGTGGAGTAGCCTAGTGGTGAAAGTGTTCGCTCATCACGCCGAAGATCCGGGTTCAATTCCCCACATGGGCACAATGTGTGAAGCCCATTGCAGGGTATCCCCAGCCGTGAAATTGCTGGAATATTGCTGAAAAAGCGGCGTAAAACCATACTCACTCACTATAATACATTCTGTTAAGTTTTGGAATAAAGTCAGTCGAAGGGCTGGGACGGGAAATTGCTGTAGTTTGTGTAAAAGAAAAACAGAGCCAGTATTTTAATAACTGTATTTTTCACCACGATTGTTAAATTCCTCTTTCTCCAACTAGATAATATTCTATTAATATATTCAATTCTTTTTCTCGTGTTAATCACCCACAAATCCTTCATATATGGATTTAACTTTATCTCTTATACCTCAAAGTGGTCTCACATAGTTTATTTTGACATCCTGCCTTGGAACCAATCTATATGGCTTTGGTCTTATCTACATTCATTTTCAACCCTGATATTCTAAAGAATATATTTAATACATCTATAGAGGCATACGGGCATTCTCCTGTGCCGTCCAGAAATAGCTCTGTGTCGACAGCACATTGTCCAAGTTTTGTTCGACATCATGTAGAGTAATCCTATTCATGTTATTATTTTTATCATGCACCAAACGATTTCAGCAACCAGAGGAAACATACATGGTTATAGGGGATCTCCTTGTCTACAACCTTGATCATTACTACAGAATGAAGATAGATGACCATTTTGGATTACACACGAAGTGGGTATATTTGCTTTTGTAATTTAATCACATTTATTCCGAAGGTATAATTGTATGGACCCTTGATGATGAATTATTGAGTAAAACTTTAGAGTCAAATGCTTTTTCAAAATCTATGAGTAATAGTACTCCAGGTGTGTAAGGCTTTTTTATGTCTGAAACAAGATACCATGCACTAGTCTCGTGTTTTCGCTGACACATCTACCTAGAATATATCTAGTTTTATGTATTTGTATTAGACTATCCAATGGCTTTTTAACCAGGTAAGCAATACAGGCACGGAATATTTTACACAAAGCTTTCAACTCTTTGTGACATGGCTGCATAATAAAAACAACGTCGTCAACCGCTTGATTTCAATTATGGCAGCAACTGGTCCAGAAGCGCATTAGCCTACTTCATTTAGGGCTCTCTCCATTCTTGCCATGAAGCACGACCGCAATTTTGAATCTGCTAAAACCTTGAAAACTTTCTTTTAATTTGACTTACAGAATATTACAATATCATGCCTGGTTTTGTTATAACCTAATATACAGATATACTTAATCTTGTAGACGTTAGTGATATGGGTTTTGATCAAGAGGAAACCTTGAGCAAACATTGTCACACAAACCGTGTGTGATGTGGATCTATTTCTAAGAAATGTGTACAGGTAATTGATACGTTTTATCGAGGAAAGCTCAACACGAAAGGGTCGGTCGTCTGACCCACTTGTTATCAGCCTAATCTGTCACGATATGGCTGACGTTAAAAAATACCTCACTCACACTCACTCACCTAATCTGTCAGCTGACTTATACCAGTCAGCCATTTTGAATTCAACCTGGATATTCCCCTATATTCCAACATTCTGATGAACAACTAAGGTTTTGACAAAACAAGGACAAAATAAGCTTGAAGTATACTCTCCAAACTAAGAATAGGATATTCGAAAATAACAAATGAATACAGACATACAAAGAGGTATCGAGTGATGGGGACGAATGGATAAAATCAAGCAAAGACCTGATGAAACTTGGCAATCAACAGAACATGTTGGCGGTGTGTTGTAAGGATGCAAACAGCCCCAAAAGAAGACAAGATGTATAGAAAAAATGAACATTTGAGATTTAACATACTTCTTGACCTCACCTCACCGTCCAGTCCATCAAGGTTTGTATTGCTGTGTTTAAATTTCCACATGTGATGTAGAAACGGCCAGACAAATGCACTACCTCTCTAGGACATGGTCGTTGGACTTCACTCCCTAGTCAGGAAGAAAAATAACATCCAATCCAATCATGAAGTTTGAATTTGTGGCTGAATTTTGTTGACAGGTCGTGGTAAGCCTGATAGCTGATAGTAGATGGGGAAAAGGACATTTTGACCTTACCTCTAAACACATCTCAACTGCGGGTTCATATTTAAGTCAGTGAAAAGAATATATATTCACCCAGCGGCAACAGTGGTCAAGCATCCATGATGGGCTAGGCAGGGAATCAGGGATGATGAGCGATCCTAGCATGAACGCTGATTCCGATGTGATGAAAATGCGTGAGAGATCAGCGTAAACACACTCTTGTATCCTTATATACAACCTAACCAGCTATTTGAAAGTTCCACATAGTGGATTACCTACTTTCACCGTCCGCGGTATACCGGACCGGAAGTTTTCACACCACACTAGCATCTAAATATTGTATCTTCCTGACGACGGATCACCACCTGCTGGCAGTGTCTGAAAGAAGACTAACGTCCTGGGGTCACAGAACATGCATCTTTACAGCAGCTTCACTTTGGAGTTCTCTCCCTGTTGACATCGAGCAGTCTCCTTCCATGGCTTATTAAAAATCAGTCCTGAAAACCCATCTCTTCAGACGTCATTACCTACAATTCCCTTATCTTACTCTCCAGCTATGCTTTCATAATTTAAGTCGCTGTGTTTTTGGAGGATATGGTTCAATAGAAATGTCCATTGTTATATTTTACAGAATAGAATAAGTATATGCAGCAAAGAGCATTATCATTATTACTACTATTACAACTGCATAGCACTTGTTTCATACCACTTTTATATGAAACTGATGGAAGAAAGACAAATGTTTGGCAAACAGCATCACCCGTATGACCCAGAGAATGACACAAATATAAGGGGGAGTGAGAATGTTGTGCTAATATAACAAATATTATATTTGGGATTACACTTTCTTCGTACTTTGTGCCAATCGTATACTGTTAACCCAGACCTAGCCAATCCACTTGAAGTAAGAGTCATTCCATTGGTGACTGACATAATCCCATCCGAATGCCTCAAGCACCAGGCTTCCAAACAGCCCCTTTTAATTTGGAGTAGAACCCACCTGTCAAATGTATCGTCTCCCAAAATCATATGAGTGAAACCTGGTCAATATAATACCCATCCAAGTCACATATAATTACAGTATAATGCTTGTTACACAATCATTTCCATTCCAACACATGATGTTCGCCTTATGGTCAGCGAATCAAATCGGTTTTTCCCATTCATAACTGGCGGTGGTACAACAGCTTATATTATTATACAACTATTACAAAGATCATACAAATAGGATAAATACGAAGAAACATTATTTTGTTTATTATTCAAACTGTTGTTATACATTTGCAAGACAACTCAAAAAAAGGTAAAGGGATATTTCCATAACCACACCTGACGGTACATTAACTTATCTGGACGCTGGATAAACATTTTACTGGGGTAGAAACTCATTCTATGTTTTAACGCTTACTGAAGTGTGACCTTGTCACAATATATGTGGTTCGATATCTTCCATGCGTTTCCCCAAATGCATTAACATAGTGAGACAGCCTCATGTACATTATATGCACAGTTTGTTTCTGAGGCTGGTGCATACAAAAACACAAGTTAAAAAAACCATATAGTATAATGTTATTCTTAGCAGGATATGTTTTACTACAATAGAAGACATGACACTTATGTCGCTTTTTCCTTTGAAAAATGTTTATGAATAAGGTCAAGAAGGAAAACTGTTTTCATGTGTGTTAGTATTCCATTTAAATCATATTAGTGTCCTAGTAATATGTTTGAAAGCTATGTGCATAATAAAAGCAGGTACATGTATTTCTTACAAATACAACGGCCCAGTCTACTTTCTACTAAAGCCTTTTAGGGCCATTTGTTTTTATATTCTTTTGTGAAATCTCAAGATACTTAGTTGAAATTTCAAGATACATACATGTAAGCTGAAATTACAAGATACTTACTTGAATTTTCAAAATGCTAAGTTGAAATTTCAAGATATTAACTTATTATCTTAAAATTTCAACTTAGTATGTATCTTGAAATTTTAACATGACATTTTGAATTTTCAAGAACAAAATGGCCCAAAAAGGCTTCCGTATAAAAGGCTTCCGTAACCTTCAGAGAGCCTTTGCTTCAAAATCCCACATTTACCATATTCACGTCAACATCATTGTAGGCTTATACATACAATTGTTTAATTTGAAACTTGAGGTTGTGACATGGAATTTAATGGGTACTGACCTCTTTAACAACTATAACACCCCTAATAGTCTTGGGATCAAAATGAATTTCATAAGCACACATTGATTTTAAAATTGGTGACTCAAATACACATATTCTACATTCCGTTTGTGCAACGACTTCACTGGATTTCACTTTGAAGTGCTGATTAAAGAAAAATGCTTGATATTCCGATCCTCATCGAAAGAACAAATTTCATTTGCATGATGTCTGCAAATACATTCTTGATGCTGACAGAACTTTACAATACAGGTTTGAAATGAAATACTTCACCAGAGCCGCGGCTTATCTTTTCTTTAAGAAAGTTCTGAATGTGGAGGAATGGAACACATATCACTGACGTTCTGAAGTCATGGGAACAAACACATCCCTGGACATATAACATGTAACTATGAGATTAGATAAGTCTCAAACTAAGGTGGAGGAGTTAAGAGCTAAAAAACTGTTAAAATATTACAAACAAAAACCTTTCCCTAATCCGCAAAATGTCTGCAAAAAGCAGAGTCCATTGTTCTATTCCGACTATGATAATAAATAACCCTTTCCATATCCAATAGAAATCTCAGCATAAAGCAGAGTCGATTGTACGATTCCGACTATATCATGAGTATGTGTTATAAATCACTATCAGATAGGAATGATACCAGGTGTTCACGAAAAGAAGAGAATATCCTGCCCAGCCATAAGCATGTCTTTATGAAAACAATGTTAAACCCAACTCACGAAAAAACAGTTAATGAGCAGCTATTAAACACACAGAAATAGAATAAAAGTTCACATCTGTTGTTAGATCGCTGACTTTACATGGAGTTCCCCGCTCCCCAGTGTAGGTTCGAATCCCAGACGGGACTCAACTCCAAAAAAAGTACGAGAATCTGCACTTGCACTGTGCGCAGGTACACAACTAGGCCATATCAGCGAAACAACTCCTCGTGTTATCTTGAGAAGTTGATAATATCAACAGGATAAATCAAGAGGATATAGGCCGATTTCATTTTTCGTTTTTCGTTTCGTTTTTCAGTTAACTTGATCTGGAATGTTAAGTTACGAAATCTTACGTAGACCACACATGACGTAGATCACACATGACGTAGACCTCAAATGACGTAGATCACACATGACGTAGACCACACGTGACGTAGACCACACATGACGTAGACCACACATGACGTAGATAACACATGACGTAGACCACACATCACGTAGACCACACATCACGTAGACCACACATAACGTAGATCACACATCACGTAGACCACACATCACGTAGACCACACATGACGTAGATCACACATGACGTAGATCACACTTGACGTTGACCATGGCATGTGGTTCAATAAATAACGTTTACACACCCAACATGTATCGCTGACGCACCCAATATTTAATGTTTGCACACCCAATACGAAGGTTGATATACCACAATATTTATTTATTTGTTGTTCCTTCAAATGCTAGGAACGAGCTGAAATTTCCTTTTCGGAAAAAATGATTTCATTCTCAATATCTGTCATGAGAACTTATAGTCGCAGGATGGTGTATCCATGGTGTATCTAGCTATCTCTCCATGGTGTATCTAGCTATCTGGCTGCCCTGCCGTTGTTGATGTTGTTGATCTCCCGGGACAGCTGGCACATCGTGCACTGGTAACAGCAGACCACCATGCAGCAGTCGTCGCAGATGGAGCCCTGGAACAGTGTGTGGAAACATCTAGAACCAGGCGTCTCAAACATCCAACACCGGGTGTCTCAAACAGCACACATCGGGTGTCTCAAACATCAAACACCGCATGTCTCAGATATCACACACCGGAAATTTCAAACGGCAAACAGCAAGCGTCTCAAACATCACACCCGGTGTCTCAAACATCACATCCGGTGTTCAGACACCAAACACCAGGTTTCTCAAACACCAAACATCGGCTGTCTCAGACATTACACCCGGTGTCTCAGAACCAAACAGCGGGTGTCTCAAACATCAAACAGGTTTTTTAAACATCAAACATTGGGTGTCTCAAACATCTACCCGGGTTATCGAACATCAAACACCGGGTGCCCCAAAGTTCAAACCCCGCGTGCCTCAAACATCAAACACCGGGTGTCTCAAATATCACACTGGGCGTCTCAAACATCAAACACCGTGTGTCTCAAGCATCAAACACCGGGTGTCTCAAACATCAAACACCGCGTGTCTCAAATATCAAACACAGGTTTCTCAAAGATTAAACACCGGGAGTCTCAAACATCACATACCGGGTTCTCGAACATCAAACACCAGATGCCTCAAACATCAAACGTCAGGTGTCTCAAACATCAAACACTCAAGATGTGTAATAGAATGTCCCTTGTAACCTATGGACCCGGACAGCAACTACTAACGCACATATACACATACACACGCACGCACATACACACTAACGCACATATACACATACACACGCACGCACATACACACTAACGCACATATATACATACACACGCACGTACATACACACTAACGCCCATATACACATACACACTAACGCACATATATACATACACACGCACGCACATACACACTAACGAACATATATACATACAAACGCACGCACATACACACTAACGCACATATATACATACACACGCACGCACATACACACTAACGCACATATATACATACAAACGCACGCACATACACACTAACGCACATATATACACACGCACGCACTCAAATACACACTAAAGCACATATACACATACACACGCACGCACATACACACTTACGCACATATACACTAACGCACATATACACATACACACTTACGCACATACACACTTACGCACATATACACACACAGACGCACGCACATATACACACACAGACGCACGCACATACACACGCATGCACACAACTTACACATACCACCTTACGCTCACGCGCACTCACACATTGATGTACACACACACACATACCCCCTCGCGCACATACACACATACGCACAAATACACTCACGTGTTTACCACTTCATGCACATACAAACCCATGCACATACACACTCACGCGCAACCACACCCCATGCATACCCACTCATGCGCATAACCAACGCAACTAAATGTGTATATCAATTCATGAACATACACACTCACGCACATACAAACCCCAGCACATACACTCTCATACGCGACCACACCCCGCACATGCACACTCACGCGCAAACCAACTCACGCATATGTCCATTCACGAGCATACCACCCCAGGAACATGCTCACATACACATATCAACTTGCATACATAGCAACTGTCGCACGAACACACTCACGCACATACACACGCACGTGTGTATCACCTCGCACACGCAACCTACCCCACGCCCACATACCAACTCACGCACATACAAACTCACGCACATACACACTCACGCACATACCATACACATGAATATTCCAACTCACGCACATACCAACACAAGCACATACAAACTCACGCTCATACAAATTCACACACATTCCAACTCACGCACATTCCAACTCACGCACATACGAACTCAAGCACATACCAACACACGCACATTCCACCTCACGCACCTACACACATACACATGCAGACAACCACACACAGGTACCCCATCCCTATCCGATGGCCTGACCTGAATGTTGTGCTTTCCTCTGATGTGGGCGCGGAGTGATACGAGCCAGTACGGCACACAGCAGGGGAGACAACACGTTTCCCCAGCCTTCGACGCCAGGTGGCACCCGTAACACTCTTGACAGAACATCACACACAGACCTGGGGGTGAAATAAAATACAAATGCGTTCATTGGTCAGCAAGTGTTGTAACAACCATAACATGTATTTTCAAATAGATTGTGGGAATTACTTCTGAATATAAGGACCAAAACAAACATTGAGTGAAACAGTGGATGATAAGTAAATTAAGCTACTCACTTTAATCTCGTGCGCGTACCCAATATTGACACGTGTTAAAACTACATAGGAGCTCGTGTTTAAACCACATATGGGCTCTTGTTGAGACAACATATGGGATCTTGTTGAAACCACATATGGGATCTTATTGAAACCACATATGGGCTCTTGTTGAAACCACATATGGGCTCTTGTTGAACCAACATATGGGCTCTTGTTGAAACCACATATGGGCTCTTTTTTAGACAACATATGGGCTCTTGTTGAAACCACATATGGGCTCTTGTTGAATCAACATATGGGCTCTTGTTGAGACTACATATGGGCTCTTGTTGAAACCACATATGGGCTCTTGTTGAAACCACATATGGGCTCTTATTTAGACAACATATGGGTTCTTGTTGAAACAACATATGGGCTCTTGTTGAATCAACATATGGGCTCTTGTTGAGACAACATATGGGCTCTTGTTGAGACAACATATGGGCTCTTGTTGAAACCACATATGGGCTCTTGTTGAATCAACATATGGGCTCTTGTTGAGACAACATACGGGCTCTTGTTGAGACAACATATGGGCTCTTGTTGAATCAACATATGGGCTCGTGTTGAGACAACATATGGGCTCTTGTTCAGACAATATATGGGCTCTTGTTGAATCAACATATGGGCTCTTGTTGAGACAACATATGAACTCTTGTTCAGACAACATATGGGCTCTTGTTGAATCAACATATGGGCTCTTGTTTAAACATCATATGGGCTCTTGTTGAGACAACATATGGGCTAGCGTTTCAAACAAGGCGCTTTCTTGACTTTATTTGGCACATTTAGGTGCTTCCGTATTTCGAGTAATGCAGAAAAGTGGCAAACTTTGAATACCAGCACTTTCACCGACAGGCAGTGCATATCCCATTTGCATTTGCTGAATTGGATACTGTTACGCGCCATTTGTATACAGAATCACGTGGTACTCACATCCCATAACGTCTTCAAAGCACCCACACAGCCCCGTGCTCCATCCCCGGGGGGGAGCGTCCACTGGCCCGCCCCCTCCTAGCCCCGCCACCACCACCGTGGTGTTGTGCGACTGCATCGTCTGCATGGGCATAGGCTGGAAGAATACACGTGTTCTCATATGTAATACATTCACAGCAATACCTAGTGCGAAATAAACAAGTGATAAATACGTTGTACTACATATTTACACAATACACATACGTAGTACGACACATTTACACAATAAACATACATAAAACTACACATTTACACAATACATATACGTAGTGCGACACATTTACACAATAAACATACATAAAACTACACATTTACACAATATAGAACCCGTAAAGATCCAGGTAGAGGATAGGTCTTCAGCAACCCCTGCCGCACTCAGCAATATTCCAGCTATATGACGACGGTCTGTAAATTATCGAGTCTGGACCAGACAATCAAGTGATTGATACCATGAGCTTCGATCTACGCAACTGGGACGCGATGACACGCATCAACCAAGTCAGCGAGCCTGACCACCCAATCCCTCTCACGACAAGCATGTCGCCTTTTACGGTAAAATGGTAATGATATTCGGGTGTTTTGACTTCGCTGATCGCTTGTCATCTTTCCCGGACGTCAACCTTATATCAGTCAGCTGACAAGACTCGATGATGTGAAAGCCGGTCACATCTGGACGAGTGCTGACCACGTTAAACACCCTTCACTCACTCACTCGAGGACCTATGGTGGACGCACCTGTTGCATGACGGGCTGCTGGTGAGGGGGGGTATAGTAGTTGGGCTGGTATGGGACTACCCCTGGCCCCTGGTACTCCTGGGGGGTCGGGGCCTGAGGGTGGACGGTGCCCGAGTGTGGCGCATAGGGTGGTGGGCCCGGTTTAGGCGCGCTGTCAATGGTGGGTGGGGCAGGCTCAGTCATTCTGCAGAAGGAAAGAACATGACTGAGTCACTAGACTGGACCAGTCTACATTTTATCATATTATAATATCAAATAACCTTAAACAAATAAGTTCAACAAAAGTTAACGTTGAGAACACTAGGGACGAGAGAATCAAACTTGTTTATATCATTTTCAAATTCATGCTGGAAACAGAGACTGCTCCAGGTTTACCTTGATGACTGACAGAAATCAGATTATTAATTTTGTGAAATATATATTTCTGATACAAAGCCATGAACAAAGAATATACTGTGAACACGGATACTCCTAAGAGGTGAAAGGAAGTCAATTCTTTATTTACTTTATAGTTGTACTTTCCGGATTGATATTTGAATTTTACTTGCCAATGACTTCTTTATAATTTTCTAAACTCTCTGTAAATTGTTTATTTTTAAAGCTATAAAGAGACACATGTCTGCAAATGTGATTTGAGTGCGTTAGCTGGATATAAATGCAAGGTAAATACAGAATTTGTCAATGACGTAAAAGTAATACTGGGCGAAAGGGACACTGCGTCAAACTGAGTTTCACGTTTGTATGCTGGTAGTACGAATACACACAAGAAATTGAAATTGATACAAAGTTAATCAATTCTGGCATTAGATACCGAGATAAATGCTCACGTTGTCTTTCCGAGTTCCGCGGATGGTAATCAACAGGTCAGTATATTTGATAACATAACACTGGACATGAATCTGAAGTTCAAAGAGAGAATAAAAAACCACGAAGGATGTAACGACTGGTAATATTTCAAACTGTATCGAAGATCTGTATCATTTCCCCTTCATCTGTCCATCTTTAGGAGACATGTGTAATTCGACCTTCAACCCAACCGTTTACTCGCCTGATGGCAACCACAAATTATCAAGATTTAAAATCTGTCAAGGTATATTTCAGGCATGGCACGATATGTACTTAAATGACACATGCGAATCTTGTTGTTAAAGATCCTGCGCACTATAGTATGCACTTAATGTATTTGAGTCTATGGCATAGACAATAAACATTTGAATTTAAATTCATTGTATGATTGGCATGGTTAGCGCATGGTTGGCATGGTTAGCGCATGGTTGGCATGGTTAGCCCATGGTTGGCATGGTAAGCGCATGGTTGGCATGGTTAGCGCATGGTTGGAATGGTTAGCGCACGGTTGGCATGGTTAGCACACGGTTGGCATGGTAAGTCCATGATTTGCATAGTTAGCGCATGGTTGGAATGGTTAGCGCACGGTTGGCATGGTTATCGCATGGTTGGCATGGTTAGCGCATGGTTGGCATGGTTAGCCCATGGTTGGCATGGTAAGCGCACGGTTGGCATGGTTAGCGCACGGCTGGCATGGTTGGCCCATGGCTAGCCCATAGTTGGCATGGTTGGCATGGTTAGCGCACGGTAGACATGGTTAGCGCACGGCTGGCATGGTTAGCACACGGTTGGCATGGTTAGCCCATGGTTGGCATTGTTAGCCCATGGTTGGCATGGTTAGCGCACGGCTGGCATGGTAAGCCCATGATTTGCATAGTTAGCGCATGGTTGGCATGGTTAGCGCACGGTTGGCTTGGTTAGCATACAGTTGACATGGTAAGTCCATGATTTGCATAGTTAGCGCATGGTTGGCATGGTTAGCGCACGGTTGGCATGGTTTGCGCATGGTTGGCGTGGTTAGCCCATGGTCGGCATGGTTAGCGCATGGTTGGCATGGTTAGCGCATGGTTGGCATGGTTAGCGCACGGTTGGCATGGTTAGCCCATGGTTGGCATGGTTAGCGCATGGTTGGCATGGTTAGCCCATGGTTGGCATGGTTAGCGCACGGTTGTGATGGTTAGCGCATGGTTGGCATGGTAAGTCCATGATTAGCATGGTTAGCGCATGGTTGGCATGGTTAGCGCACGGTTGGCATGGTTTGCGCATGGTTGGCATGGTTAGCGCATGGTTGGCATGGTAAGTCCATGATTTGCATGGTTAGCGCATTGTTGGCATGGTAAGCGCACGGTTGGCATGGTTAGCACACGGTTGGCATGGTTAGCCCATGGTTGGCATTGTTAGCCCATGGTTGGCATGGTTAGCGCACGGTTGGCATGGTTTGCGCATGGTTGGCATGGTTAGCCCATGGTTGGCATGTTTAGCGCACGGTTGGCATGGTTAGCGCATGGTGGTTGGCATGGTTAGCGCACGGTTGGCATGGTAAACCCATGACTGGCATGGTTACCGGCGTTTCTGGCCGCCATCTTACACAATCAGTTCACTCAGGACACAGACAAATAACCACCCATCATTCCTCTTATACGTCGATCGTAGGCCATTCTCTAAATTGTCTCTAAATACGTGACCTTTGTGAAATGAAGTACAGAATTGAGGGGCATCAACATATTTACAATCAAACAGACGTATGTGACTTTGTGCAAACAATAAAGGTTATATGATAGACCAGATTCAGTCCATCCCCACCCATCAACACCACTACCCCAATGCCACCCCACCCCGAACCAACCCACCCCACCCTCCTTCTGTGCAAAGGCATGCAAGTAGTCTGTCTAACCGACCACTTAAACTTCCTAACGTACATCTATTCAGTGTGATTGATTAGTGGCGCGCGCCTAGCCCTGGATTCGTTGACTTTACATGCAGCTTTGAATAGACTTCTGTTTTTTATGTTCCTAGAAACAAGAGTCAAGAAGTTCTATCACAACTATTTAGACTATATAAGGGGACAAAGGCATGTCTCTCTCATCTCACATTACATCAAGACCAGCGGTTGTGTGACGATCGTATGTTCACATTGGATATGCAGCCAAGGACTATTTTGGAGGTTTGGTTCTTTTAGCTGTAGTAGTTTGACCACAGATTTTTTTATATATTTTTACCGCAGAATTCGTCTGCGACTGAATCGGGTTATCAATCTTCCGTGTTTGGGGTCATAGGTTTGTTCGTTTGGATATGTACACAAACAGACATCCCTAGCAACAAGACCGTCCGTCAGGATGGGTTTTCATATTATCGGGGTCTGGATTAACGAATTTTCACAGTAGATAGTGAATGCTTTAATTATAACCGAGAAGGATGTCTTAATAGATCTCGAATAAATCAAAATGACGAGTTATTGAAAACGTTACCTGCAGTGGTGAGATCGGTTGTCTGTGTAACAGACGTTCAGGTTGTTTACGATGTTGCTATGGGTGACTTTACATGCAGCTTTGAATAGACTTCTGTTTTTTTATGTTCCTAGAAACAGGATTTAAGAAGTTCTTCACAGAAGTTCTAGGAATTCATACACCGCCTGTATGGGCTACCTGCCTGCCCGACCGTCCGAGACGGGTTGATTTCAACTCGGGCTGTCAGATTATCAAATCCCCCTGCCCGACGGTCGGGTTATATTTCATAGATTCACATGTAAAGATGAATGATATAATGTAACCAAAAAGAAACCCCGTTAGCTTTTAGACAACCTAACATTTATGCTACAAGCAATCAGTTTTCATATTTTTGGTTAAATTATCCTGAGAAACATATGATTATAGTGGGCAGGCAGGTTTTGGTCAGGGCTGGCAAGTATTTCAGCTAGCCAGTTCTGTGGTCTGGCTGAATTTTTGGGGAGTTTCATACCCTGTTAATATTCTACCCTGAACTGAGCTAAAGATAAAGTGATTATTCCTTATAACGTGTTGTAACGTGTAAGGTTGGTTTAACATAAGTGATAGGCTGTATTAACCATGCTTAGAAATATTCCAGACAGACAGACAGACAGACAGACAGACAGATCGATTGTTTCCTCTCACCTCAATAAAAAAACATTGAGTATACAGTAAAAATGTCAATAAAATTTGAGCAATTCCTAAATGGAAATATGAGAGACGAGTTATATATGAAATATGAGTTATATTAATGTATAATAAACTAATATATATATATATATATATATATATATATATATATATATATATATATATATATATATATATATATATATATATTCAGTTAAATCAGCTAAATATAACTATACAAAAGACAAGATTAGTGTTGCACATAGATACTAATAAGGTTTATTGTCTATGCCATAGACTCAAATACATTAAGTGCATACTATAGTGCCCAGGATCTTTAACAACAAGATTCGCATGTGTCATTTAAGTACATATCGTACCATGCCTGAAATATACCTTGACAGATTTTAAATCTTGATAATTTGTGGTTGCCATCAGGCGAGTAAACGGTTGGGTTGAAGGTCGAATTACACATGTCTCCTAAAGATGGACAGATGAAGGGGAAATGATACAGATCTTCGATACAGTTTGAAATATTACCAGTCGTTACATCCTTCGTGGTTTTTTATTCTCTCTTTGAACTTCAGATTCATGTCCAGTGTTATGTTATCAAATATACTTACCTGTTGATTACCATCCGCGGAGCTCGGAAAGACAACGTGAGCATTTATCTCGGCATCTAATGCCAGAAATGATTAACTTTGTATCAATTTCAATTTCTTGTGTGTATTCGTACTACCAGCATACAAACGTGAAACTCAGTTTGACGCAGTGTCCCTTTCGCCCAGTATTACTTTTACGTCATTGACAAATTCTGTATTTACCTTGCATTTATATCCAGCTAACGCACTCAAATCACATTTGCAGACATGTGTCTCTTTATAACTTTAAAAATAAACAATTTACAGAAAGTTTAGAAAATTATAAAGAAGTCATTGGCAAGTAAAATTCAAATATCAATCTGGAAAGTACAACTATTAAGTAAATAAAGAATTGACTTCCTTTCACCTCTTAGGAGTATCCGTGTTCACAGTATATTCTTTGTTCATGGCTTTGTATCAGAAATATATATTTCACAAAATTAATAATCTGATTTCTGTCAGTCATCAAGGTAAACCTGGAGCAGTCTCTGTTTCCAGCATGAATTTGAAAATGATATAAACAAGTTTGATTCTCTCGTCCCTAGTGTTCTCAACGTTAACTTTTGTTGAACTTATTTGTTTAAGGTTATTTGATATTATAATATGATAAAATGTAGACTGGTCCAGTCTAGTGACTCAGTCATGTTCTTTCCTTCTGCAGAATGACTGAGCCTGCCCCACCCACCATTGACAGCGCGCCTAAACCGGGCCCACCACCCTATGCGCCACACTCGGGCACCGTCCACCCTCAGGCCCCGACCCCCCAGGAGTACCAGGGGCCAGGGGTAGTCCCATACCAGCCCAACTACTATACCCCCCCTCACCAGCAGCCCGTCATGCAACAGGTGCGTCCACCATAGGTCCTCGAGTGAGTGAGTGAAGGGTGTTTAACGTGGTCAGCACTCGTCCAGATGTGACCGGCTTTCACATCATCGAGTCAGCTGACTGATATGAGGGCGACGTCCGGGAAAGATGACAAGCGATCAGCGAAGTCAAAACACCCGAATATCATTACCATTTTACCGTAAAAGGCGACATGCTTGTCGTAAGAGGCGACTAACGGGATTGGGTGGTCAGGCTCGCTGACTTGGTTGATGCGTGTCATCGTTTCCCAGTTGCGAAGATCGAAGCTCATGGTATCAATCACTTGATTGTCTGGTCCAGACTCGATAATTTACAGACCGTCGTCATATAGCTGGAATATTGCTGAGTGCGGCAGGGGTTGCTTAAGACCTATTCTCTACCTGGATCTTTACGGGTTCTATATTGTGTAAATGTGTAGTTTTATGTATGTTTATTGTGTAAATGTGTCGCACTACGTATATGTATTGTGTAAATGTGTAGTTTAATGTATGTTTATTGTGTAAATGTGTCGTACTACGTATGTGTATTGTGTAAATATGTAGTACAACGTATTTATCACTTGTTTATTTCGCACTAGGTATTGCTGTGAATGTATTACATATGAGATCATGTGTATTCTTCCAGCCTATGCCCATGCAGACGATGCAGTCGCACAACACCACGGTGGTGGTGGCGGGGCTAGGAGGGGGCGGGCCAGTGTACGCTCCCCCCCGGGGATGGAGCACGGGGCTGTGTGGGTGCTTTGAAGACGTTATGGGATGTCTCAACAAGAGCCCATATGTTGATTCAACAAGAGCCCATATGTGGCTTCAACAAGAGCCCATATGCTGTCTCAACAAGAGCCCATATGTGGTTTCAACAAGAGCCCATATGTGGTTTCAACAAGAGCCCGTATGTTGTCTCAACAGGTGATACACACGTGCGTGTGTATGTGCGTGAGTGTGTTCGTGCGACAGTTGCTATGTATGCATGTTGATATGTGTATGTGAGCATGTTCCTGGGGTGGTATGCTCGTGAATGGACATATGCGTGAGTTGGTTTGCGCGTGAATGTGCATATGCGGGGTGTGGTCGCGTATGAGAGTGTATGTGCATGGGTTTGTATGTGCGTGAGTGTGTATGTTCATGAATTGATATACACATTTAGTTGCGTTGGTTATGCGCATGAGTGGGTATGCATGGGGTGTGGTTGCGCGTGAGTGTGTATGTGCATGGGTTTGTATGTGCGTGAAGTGGTAAACACGTGAGTGTATTTGTGCGTATGTGTGTATGTGCGCGAGGGGGTATGTGTGTGTGTGTACATCAATGTGTGAGTGCGCGTGAGCGTAAGGTGGTATGTGTTAGGTGTGTGCATGCGTGTGTATGTGCGTGCGTCTGTGTGTGTATATGTGCGTTAGTATGTGCGTGCGTGTGTTTTATATTTGTGCGTTAGTGTGTATGTGAGTGCGTGTGTATGTGTATATGTGCGTTAGTGTGTATGTGCGTGCGTGTGTATGTCTATAATTGCGTTAGTGTGTATGTGCGTGCGTGTGTATGTGTATATGTGCGTTAGTGTGTATGTGCGTGCGTGCGTGTGTAAATATGTGCGTCAGTGTGTATGTGCGTGCGTTTGTATGTATATATGTGCGTTAGTGTGTATGTGCGTGCGTGTGTATGTATATATGTGCGTTAGTGTGTATGTGCGTGCGTGTGTATGTATATATGTGCGTTAGTGTGTATGTGCGTACGTTTGTATATATTTCATACAATGAAGTGGACAAAATGTATGAATAACAACTTCTATATTTACTGTAAAGACGACTTTTCGGTATAGATCCTTGACAACGGTATAAGAATCTATACCGAAACGTTGCCTTTACAGTAAATAACGAAATTATTATCAAAAAGTTGCGTCCACTTTGTCCTGTCAACTTTTAAGTAATGCCTGTCAAACAATTTATTTCATACAACAGCCAAGTTGCATCCTGCATTAAGTTTTTGATCAAACTCATCTGTCCATGTCTACAAAGTGATCTGCTTATACTGAAATAGAGACACTGAGTCTGGAAGTCAGTTAACCTGATTGCATTTTGGGGACTGTTCAATAGTTGTTTGACTACCCTTCCGATGCTTCCTTGCATCATGCGAGTCCGGACGTGCGTTCATCTGAAGGAAGACGCCATGTTCTTGTACGAAGTTCACAGTAGGTATCTATTGTATCTAAGAAATTTATCAGAATGAGATCAATGAAATATGTATATATTAAATCGTTTCACAAATATCACTCAGCGTCACACACGGCACTTGATGTTTCGCGGTATCAGTCAGATAATGACCGTAAATATGTCCCATGAGGTCCTAACGGGGAACAGCGCCCTCCTCCATGGTGTATCTAGCTATCTCTCCATGGTGTATCTAGCTATCTCTCCATGGTGTATCTATCTATCTCTCCATGGTGTATCTATCTATCTCTCCATGGTGTATCTAGCTATCTCTCCATGGTGTATCTAGCTATCTCTCCATGGTGTATCTATCTATCTCTCCATGGTGTATCTAGCTATCTCTCCATGGTGTATCTAGCTATCTCTCCATGGTGTATCTAGCTATCTCTCCATGGTGTATCTATCTATCTGGCTGTCGGGTGTCTCAAACAGCACACATCGGGTGTCTCAAACATCAAACACCGCGTGTCTCAGATATCACACACCGGAAGTTTCAAACGGCAAACAGCAGGCGTCTCAAACATCACACCCGGTGTCTCAAACATCTAATCAGGTGCTCAGACACCAAACACCAGGTTGCTTAAACACCAAACACTGGCTGTCTCAAATACCAAACATCGGCTGTCTCAAACATTACACCCGGTGTCTCAGAACCAAACACAGGGTGTCTCAAACATCAAACAGGTTTCTCAAACATCAAACACTGGGTGTCTAAAACATCTACCCGGGTTCACCGGGTGCCCCAAAGTTCAAACCCCGCGTGTCTCAAGCATCAAACACTGGGTGTCTCAAACATCAAACACCGTGACTGTTTACCATATGTATGGTTAACTAATGATGAATCTGTGATATCGTGGTGCGGTTTTACAGTAAGCTCCCTTTTTGAAACGTGACGATTTGTTCGTTTCTAGGCTTCAATAAAATCAATTCCAGCAGCTTAATAATTCGAATTATATCGTCAAATACACTGTCCTATTATATCTATACACACAGTGCATGTTTAACATCCGGTATAATTTTTGTTTATCTAGAAATATTTAAACAACGGCACAAGGGCCTGTGGTGCCCAAGTGTTATATTTCAAAATGTTATGAACTTAAATCGACAGCGTGACCTTGTAAAATAGGCATGGTACGGGCAACTGTACTTGCCCTTCCTTGCTGTCCTGGAATTAGGATGGTACTATAATTCTTAGAAACGTAGCTCTTGACTATCGTGAATGAGTATGTAGGTCAATAATGAGTTCGTTGGGCAATAATGTGTATGTGGGTCAACGTGTGTGTGTGTGTGTGTGTGTGTGTGTGTGTGTGTGTGTGTGTGTGTGTGTGTGTGTGTGTCCGTGCGCGCCTAATCGCCAGCAGCGATCTAACCCACAACTGGTAGTCTATGGACCACATATTACAATAAAATTAATTATCTGTACTTTAGTAAGTAAGTGTTATCCCAAATATAACATTTGTTACATGTGCCCCTTTTCTAAATAGCATTGTGTGTTCAAAGCTTTCGGCCATTGGAGCCTTGCCAATTTACACTTGTCAGAGGGGTACACAAACTACGTGATCAAGACTTCCAGTTGTCGGACTTTCATTTTTCTGGAAGCCTCGGTGGCTGAGTGGGTTAGGTCGCTGACTTTACATGGGGTTCCCCACTCTGGTAGTGTAGGTTCGAATCCCGGACGGGACTCAACTCCAAAAAAAGTACGAGAATCTGCACTTTACTAAGAAAGTGATATCCCATATATAACATGTTACAGTTCAATATCTTTTTTGCATTTTCAAAGAAATCTACCAGCAGTGTAAAAAGTATTTTACCTTCAAGTTGGACAAGGTATATTTGCGACATTAAATGTTAACACACTAAACGCTGCATTGCGGTACACTGTGCGCAGGTACACAACTAGGCCATATCAGCGAAACAACTCCTCGTGTTATCTTGAGAAGTTGATAATATCAACAGGATAAATCAAGAGGATATCGGCCGATTTCATTTTTCGTTTTTCGTTTCGTTTTTCAGTTAACTTGATCTGGAATGTTAAGTTACGAAATCTTACGTAGACCACACATTACGTAGATCACACATGACGTAGATCACACATCACGTAGATCACACATGACGTACACCACACATTACGTAGATAACACATGACGTACACCACACATTACGTAGACCACACATTACGTAGACCACACATGACGTAGATCACACATGACGTACACCACACATTACGTAGATCACACATGACGTACACCACACATTACGTAGATCACACATGACGTAGATCACACATTACGTAGATCACACATGACGTACACCACACATTACGTAGATCACACATGACGTACACCACACATGACGTACACCACACATGACGTAGACCACACATGACGTAGAGCACACATGACGTAGAGCACACACGACGTAGATCACACTTGACGTCGACCATGGCATGTGGTTCAATAAATAACGTTTACACACCCAACATGTATCGCTGACACACCAAATATTTAATGTTTGCACACCCAATACGAAGGTTGATATACCACAATATTTATTTATCTGTTGTTCCTTCAAATGCTAGGAACGAGCTGAAATTTCCTTTTCGGAAAAATGATTTTATTCTCAATATCTGTCATGAGAACTTATAGTCGCAGGATGGTGTATCCATGGTGTATCTAGCTATCTCTCCATGGTGTATCTATCTATCTGGCTGCCTTGCCGTTGTTGATGTTGTTGATCTCCCGGGACAGCTGGCACATCGTGCACTGGTAACAGCAGACCACCTTGCAGCAGTCGTCGCAGATGGAGCCCTGGAACAGTGTGTGGAAACATCTAACACCAGGCGTCTCAAACATCCAACACCTGGTGTCTCAAACAGCACGAACTAGCTGTCTCAAACACCAAACATCGGCTGTCTCAAACATTACACTCGGTGTCTCAAACACAGGTTTCTCAAACATCAAACATTGGGTGTCTTAAACATCTACCTGGGTTATCGAACATCAAACACCGGGTGCCCCAAAGTTCAAACCCCGCGTGTCTCAAACATCAAACACCGGGTGTCTCAAATATCAAACACCGTGTGTCTCAAGCATCAAACACTGGGTGTCTCGAACATCAAACACCGCGTGTCTCAACTATCAATCACAGGTTTCTCAAAGATCAAACATCGGGTGTCTCAAACATCAAACACAGGTTTCTCGATCATCTAACACTGGGTATCTGAAACATCACATACCGGGTTCTCGAAAAACACACACCGGGTGTCTCAAACATCAAACACCGCATGTCTCAAACATCAAATCCTGCATGTCTCAAACATCAAACACCGCATGTCTCAAACATCAAACAGAAGGTGTCTTAAACATCGAACATATCAAACGCTAGCAAACATTTCAGTCATCAAACAATGGGTGTCTTAAACATCAAACAGAAGGTGTATCAAACATCAAACATATCAAACGCTGGCAAACATTTCAGTCATCAAACAACGGGTGTCTCAAACTCCAAACAGAAGGTGTATCAAACATCAAACACCGGAAACATCAATCGCCAGATGTCTCAAACATCAAACGTCAGGTATCTCAAACATCAAACACCGGATGTCTCACATACCAAACATATCAAACACTGGGTGTCTCAAACATCAATCACTGGGTGTCCAAAACCATCAAACATCGGGTGTCTCAAACATCAAATTGCGGGTGTCTCAATCATCAAACACTGGGCTCACAAACATCAAACACCAGATGCCTCAAACATCAAACGTCAGGTGTCTCAAACATCAAACACATCAAAAGATGTGTAAGAGAATGTCACTTGTAACCTATGGACCCGGAAAGCAACTCATGCGCATGGACACGCACGCACATACACACTAACGCACATACACATGCACGCACATACACACTAACGCACATATACACATACACACTAACGCACATACACACTAACGCACATATACACATACACACGCACGCACATACACACTAACGCACATATACACATACACACGCACGCACATACACACTAACGCACATATACACATACACACTAACGCACATATACACATACACACGCACGCACATACACACTAACGCAAATATACACATACACACGCACGCACATACACAGTAACGCACATATACACATACACACGCACGCACATACACACTTACGCACATATACACATACACACTAACGCACATATACACATACACACGCACGCACATACACACTAACGCACATATACACATACACACATACGCACATATTCACATTCACAAGCACGCACATATACACATACACACTAACGCACATATTCACATACACACTTACGCACATATACACATACACAAGCACGCACATACACACTAACGGACATATACACATACACACAAGCACATACAGAGTAACGCACATATACACTAACACACGCACGCACATACACACTAACGCACATATACACATACACACTAACGCACATATACACATACACACGCACGCACATACACACTAACGCACATATACACATACACAAGCACGCACATACACACTAATGCACATATACACATACACACTAACGAACACATTCACATACACACGCACGCATATACACACTAACGAAGATATACACATACACACTAACGCACATATTCACATACACACGCACGCACATACACACTAACACACATATATGCATACACACTAATGCTCATTTACATATACACACGCACGCACTTACACACGCACGCACATACACAAGCACGCATATACACACTAACGCACATATACACATACACACTAACGCACATACACAGTAACGCACATATACACATACGCACGCACATACACATGCACGCACATATATACATACACACGCACGCACATACACACTAACGCACATATACACATACACACGCACGCACATACACACTAATGCACATATACACATACACACTAACGCACATATTCACATACACACGCACGCACATACACACTAACGCACATATTCACATACACACTAACGCACATATTCACATACACACTAACGCACATATTCACATACGCACGCACGCACATACACACTAACGCACATATACACATACACACGCACGCACATATACACATACACATGAACACACATATACACTAACACGCATATACACATACACACAAACGCACGCACATACACTCAAACGCACATACACATGCACGCACATACACACTAACGCACATATAAACATACACACGCACGCACATATACACATACACATGAACGCACATACACACTAACACGCATATACACATACTCACGCACGCACGCACGCACGCACATACACACTAACGCGCAACCACACCCCATGCATACCCACTCATGCCCATAACCAACGCAAGCACATACCAACTAAATGTATATATCAATTCACGAAAATACACACTCACGCACATACAAACCCATGCACATACACACTCATACGCGACCACACCCCGCACATGCACATTCACAAGCATACCAACTCACGCACATGTCCATTCACGAGCATACCACCTCAGGAACATGCCTCACATACACATATCAACTTGCATACATAGCAACTGTCGCACGAACACAATCACGCACATACACACGCGCGTGTGTATCAACTCACACATGCAACCTACCCCACGCCCACATACCAACTCACGCACATACAAACTCACGTACATACCATACACATGAACATTCCAACTCACGCACATACCAACTCACGCACATACAAACACACGCACATTCCAACTCACGCACATACAAATTCACGCACATACAAACTCAAGCACATACCAACACACGCACATTCCACCTCACGCACCTACACACATACACATGCAGACAACCACACACAGGTACCCCATCCCTATCCTATGGTCTGACCTGGATGTTGTGCTTTCCTCTGATGTGGGCGCGGAGTGATATGAGCCAGCCCGGCACACAGCAGGGGAGACAACACGTTTCCCCAGCCTTCGACGCCAGGTGGCACCCGTAACACTCTTGACAGAACATCACACCCAGACCTGGGGGTGAAATAAAATACAAATGCGTTCATTGGTCAGCAAGTGTTGCAACAACCATAACATGTATTTTCAAATAGATTGTGGGAATTACTTCTAAATATAAGGACCCAAACAAACATCGAGTGAAACAGTGGATGATAAGTAAATTAAACTACTCACTTTAATCTCGTGCGCGTACCCAATATGGGCTCTTGTTGAAACAACATGTATGCTCTGTTGAGACAACATATGGGCTCTTGTTGAGACAACAAATGGGATCTTGTTGAAACCACATATCGGCTCGTGTTGAAACAACATATTGGCTCTTGTTGAAACAACATATGGGATCTTGTTGAAACAACATATGGGATCTTGTTGAAACCACATATGGGATCTTGTTGAAACCACATATGGGCTCTTGTTGAAACCACATATGGGCTCTTGTTGAATCAACATATGGGCTCGTGTTGAGACAACATATGGGCTCTTGTTGAAACAACATATGGGATCTTGTTGAAACCACATATGGGCTCTTGTTGAAACCACATTTCGGCTCGTGTTGAAACCACATATGGGCTCTTGTTGAATCAACATATAGGCTCGTGTTGAGACAACATATGGGCTCTTGTTGAATCAACATATGGGCTCTTGTTGAGACAACATATGGGCTCTTGTTGAAACCACATATGGGCTCTTGTTGAAACCACATTTCGGCTCGTGTTGAGACAACATATGGGCTCTTGTTGAATCAACATGTGGGCTCTTATTGAGGCAACATATGGGCTCTTGTTGAATCAACATATGGGCTCTTGTTGAGACAACAAATAGGATCTTGTTGAAACCACATATGGGCTCTTGTTGAAACCACATATGGGCTCTAGTTTAAACAACATATGGGCTCTTGTTGAAACAACATATGGGATCTTGTTGAAACCACATAAGGGATCTTGTTGAAACCACATATGGGCTCTTGTTGAAACCACATATGGGCTCTTGTTGAATAAACATATGGGCTCGTGTTGAGACAACATATGGGCTCTTGTTGAATCAACATATAGGCTCTTGTTAAGACAACATATGGGCTCTTGTTGAAACCACATATGGGCTCTTGTTGAATCAACATATGGGCTTTTGTTCAAACCACATATGGGCTCTTGTTGAAACCACATTTCGGCTCGTGTTGAGACAACATAATGGCTCTTGTTGAATCAACATATGGGCTCTTATTGAGACAACATATGGGATCTTGTTGAAGCAACATATGGGCTCTTGTTGAGACAACATACGGGCTCTTGTTGAGACAACATATGGGCTCTTGTTGAAACCACATATGGGCTCTTGTTGAATCAACATATGGGCTCTTGTTGAGACAACATATGGGCTCTTGTTGAATCAACATATGGGCTCTTGTTGAGACAACATATGGGCTCTTGTTGAAACAACATATGGGATCTTGTTGAAACCACATATGGGATCTTGTTGAAACCACATATGGGCTCTTGTTGAAACCACATATGGGCCCTTGTTGAATCAACATATGGGCTCGTGTTGAGACAACATATGGGCTCTTGTTGAATCAACATATGGGCTCTTGTTGAGACAACATATGGGCTCTTGTTGAAACCACATATGGGCTCTTGTTGAAACCACATTTCGGCTATTGTTGAGACAACATATGGGCTCTTGTTGAATCAACATATGGGCTCTTATTGAGGCAACATATGGGCTCTTGTTGAGACAACATACGGGCTCTTGTTGAGACAACATATGGGCTCTTGTTGAAACCACATATGGGACTTGTTGAAACCACATATGGGCTCTTGTTTAAACAACATATGGGCTCTTGTTGAAACAACATATGGGATCTTGTTGAAACCACATAAGGGATCTTGTTGAAACCACATATGGGCTCTTGTTGAAACCACATATGGGCTCTTGTTGAATAAACATATGGGCTCGTGTTGAGACAACATATGGGATCTTGTTGAATCAACATATGGGCTCTTGTTGAGACAACATATGGGCTCTTTTTGAAACCACATATGGGCTCTTGTTGAATCAACATATGGGCTCTTGTTGAAACCACATTTCGGCTCGTGTTGAGACAACATATGGGCTCTTGTTGAATGAACATATGGGGTCTTATTGAGACAACATATGGGCTCTTGTTGAAGCAACATATGGGCTCTTGTTGAGACAACATACGGGCTCTTGTTGAGACAACATATGGGCTCTTGTTGAAACCACATATGGGCTCTTGTTGAATCAACATATGGGCTCTTGTTGAGACAACATATGGGCTCTTGTTGAATCAACATATGGACTCTTGTTGAGACAACATATGGGCTCTTGTTGAGACAACATATGGGCTCTTGTTGAATCAACATATGGGCTCTTGTTGAGACAACATATGGGCTCTTGTTGAGACAACATATGGGCTCTTGTTGAATCAACATATGGGCTCTTGTTGAGACAACATATGGGCTCTTGTTGAGACAACATATGGGCTCTTGTTGAATCAACATATGGGCTCGTGTTGAGACAACATATGGGCTCTTGTTGAGACAACATATGGGCTCTTGTTGAATCAACATATGGGCTCTTGTTGAATCAACATATGGGCTCTTGTTGAGACAACATATGGGCTATTGTTGAGACAACATATGGGCTCTTGTTGAATCAACATATGGGCTCGTGTTGAGACAACATATGGGCTCTTGTTGAGTCAACATATGGGCTAGCGTTTCAAACAAGGCTCTTTCTTGACTTTTTTTGGCACGTTTAGGTGCTTCCATATTTCGAGTTATGCAAAAAAGTGGCAAACTTTGAATACCAGCACTTTCACCGACAGGCAGTGCATATCCCATTTGCATTTGCTGAATTTGGATACTGTTACGCGCCATTTGTATACAGAATCACGTGGTACTCACATCCGTTAACGTCTTCGCAGCACCCAAACAGCCCCGAGCTCCATTCCCGGGGGGGAGCGTCCACTGGCCCGCCCCCTCCTAGCCCCGCCACCACCACCGTGGTGTTGTGCGACTGCATCGTCTGCATGGGCATAGGCTGGAAGAATACACATGTTGTCATATGCAATACATTCACAGTAATACCTAGTGCGAAATAAACAAGTGATAAATACGTTGTACTACATATTTACACAATACACATACGTAGTACGATACATTTATAAACATACAATAAAACTACACATTTAAAAAATATAGAACCCGTAAAGATCCGGGTAGAGGATAGGTCTTCAGCAACCCCTGCCGCACTCAGCAATATTCCAGCTATATGACGACGGTCTGTAAATTATCGAGTCTGGACCAGACCATCAAGTGATTGATACCATGAGCTTCGATCTACGCAATTGAGACACGATGAAACGCATCAACCAAGTCAGCGAGCCTGACCACCCAATCCCGTTAGTCGCCTCTAACGACAAGCATGTCATCTTTTACGGTAAAATGGTAATGATATTAGGGTGTTTTGACTTCGCTGATCGCTTGTCATCTTTCCCGGACGTCACCCTCATATCAGTCAGCTGACAAGACTCGATGATGTGAAAGTCAGTCACATCTGGACGAGTGCTGACCACGTTAAACACCCTTCACTCACTCACTCACTCACTCATTCGAGGACCTATGGTGGACGCACCTGTTGCATGACGGGCTGCTGGTAAGGGGGGTTGTAGTAGTTGGGCTGGTATGGGACTACCCCTGGTCCCTGGTACTCCTGGGGGGTCGGGGCCTGAGGGTGGATGGTGCGCGAGTGTGGCGCGTAGGGTGGTCGGCCCGATTTAAACTCAGTCATTCTGCAGAAGGAAAGAACATGACTGAGTCACTAGATTGGACCAGACTCCATTTTATTATAATATCAAATAACCTTAAACAAATAAGTTCAACAAAAGTTAACTTGGAGAACGCTAGGGACGAGAGAATGAAACTTGTTTGTATAATTTTCAAATTCATACTGGAAACAGAGACTGCTTCAGGTTTACCTTGATGACTGACAGAAATAAGATTATTAATTTTGTGGTGAAATATATATTTCTGATACAAAGCCACGAACAAGGAATATACTGTGAACACGGATACTCCTAAGAGGTGAAAGGAAGTCAACTCTTTATTTACTTAATAGTTGTACTTTCCGGATTGATATTTGAATTTTACTTGCCAATGACTTCTTTGTAATTTTCAAAATATTCTGTATATTAATTACTTTAAAAGCTATAAAGAGACACATGTCTGCAAATGTGATTTGAGTGCGTTAGCTGGATATAAATGCAAGGTAAATACAGAATTTGTCAATGACGTAATAGTAATACTTGGCGAAAGGGACACTGCGTCAAACTGAGTTTCACGTTTGTATGCTGGTAGTACGAATACACACAAGAAATTGAAATTGATACAAAGTTAATCATTTCTTGTATTAGATGCTGAGATAAATGCCCACGTTGTCTTTCCGAGCTCCGCGGATGGTAATCAACAGGTAAGTATATTTGATAACATAACACTGGACATGAATCTGAAGTTCAAAGAGAGAACAAAGAACCACGAAGGATGTAACGACTGGTAATATTTCAAACTGTATCGAAGATCTGTATCATTTCCCCTTCATCTGTCCATCCCTAGGAGACATGTGTAATTCGACCTTCAACCCAACCGTTTACTCGCCTGATGGCAACCACAAATTATCAAGATTTAAAATCTGTCAAGGTATATTTCAGGCATGGTACGATATGTACTTAAATGACACATGCGACTCTTTTTGTTCAATGATCCTGCGCACTATAGTATGCACTTGTACAATGTATCTGAGTCTATGGCATAGACAATAAACATTTGAATTTAAATTTATTGAATGGTTGGCATGGTTAGCGAATGGTTGGCATGGTTACCCCATGGTTGGCATGTTAAGCCCACGATTTTCATGGTTAGCGCACGGTTGGCATGGCTAGCGCACGGTTGGCATGGTAAGCCCATGGCTGGCATGGTTAGCGCATGGTTGGTATGGTTGGCGCACGGTTGGCATGGTAAGCCCATGGTTGGCACGGTTAGCGCATGGTTGGCATGGTTAGCCAATGGTTGGCATGGTTAGCCCATGGTTGGCATAGTTAGCGCACGGTTGGCATGGTAAGCCCATGGTTGGCATGGTTAGCGCGTGGTTGGCATGGTTAGCGCATGGTTGGCATGGTTAGCGCATGGTTGGCATGGTTAGCGCACGGTTGGCATGGTTAGCGCATGGTTGGCATGGTTAGCGCATGGATGGCATTGTTAGCGCATGGTTGGCATGGTTAGCTCATGGTTGGCACGGTTGGCATGGTTTGCCCATGGTTTTCATGGTTAGCGCACGGTTGGCATTGTTAGCGCATGGATGGCATGGTTAGCCCATGGTTTGCATGGTTAGCGCACGGTCGGCATGTTACGCGCACGGTTGGCATGGTTGGCATTGTTAGCGCATGGTTGGCATGGTTAGCGCATGGTTTGCATGGTTAGCGCACGGTTGGCGTGGTTAGCGCACATTTGGCATGGTTACTGCACGGTTGGCATGGTTAGCGCATGGTTGGCATGGTTAGCGCATGGTTTGCATGGTTAGCGCACGGTTGGCGTGGTTAGCGCACATTTGGCATGGTTCGCGCACATTTGGCATGGTTAGCCCATGGCTGGCATGGTTAGCGCACGGTTGGCATGGTTAGCGCACGGTTGGCATGGTAAGCCCATGGTTGGCATGGTTAGCGCACGGTTGGCGTGGTTAGCGCACATTTGGCATGGTTAGCGCACATTTGGCATGGTTAGCCCATGGTTTGCATGGTTAGCGCACGGTCGGCATGTTACGCGCACGGTTGGCATGGTTGGCATGGTTAGCGCATGGTTGGCATGGTTAGCGCATGGTTTGCATGGTTAGCGCACGGTTGGCGTGGTTAGCACACATTTGGCATGGTTAGCGCACATTTGGCATGGTTAGCCCATGGCTGGCATGGTTAGCGCACGGTTGGCATGGTTAGCGCACGGTTGGCATGGTAAGCCCATGGTTGGCATGGTAAGCCCATGGTTGGCATGGTAAGCCCATGGTTGGCATGGTAAGCCCATGGTTGGCATGGCTAGCCCACGGTTAGCATGGCTAGCCCACGGTTAGCATGGTTGGCGCACGGTTGACATGTTACGCGCACGGTTGGCATGGTTAGCCCACGGTTAGCATGGTTAGCGCACGGTTGACATGTTACGCGCATGGTTGGCATGGTAAGCGCACGGTTGGCATGGTTAGCGCACGGTTGGCATGGTTAGCGCACGGTTGGCATGGTAAGCCCATGGTTGGCATGGCTAGCCCACGGTTAGCATGGCTAGCCCACGGTTAGCATGGTTAGCGCACGGTTGACATGTTACGCGCACGGTTGGCATGGTTAGCCCACGGTGGGCATGGTTAGCTCACGGTTGACATGTTACGCGCATGGTTTTCATGGTTAGCGCACGGTTGGCATTGTTAGCGCATGGATAGCATGGTCAGCGCACGGTTGGCATGGTAAGCGCATGGTTGGCATGGTTAGCGCACGGTTGGCATGGTTAGCGCACGGTTGGCATGGTTAGCCCATGGTTTGCATGGTTAGCGCACGGTCGGCATGTTACGCGCACGGTTGGCATGGTTGGCATGGTTAGCGCATGGTTGGCATGGTTAGCGCATGGTTTGCATGGTTAGCGCACGATTGGCGTGGTTAGCGCACATTTGGCATGGTTAGTGCACGGTTGGCATGGTTAGCGCATGGTTGGCATGGTTAGCGCACATTTGGCATGGTAAGCCCATGGCTGGTATTGTTAGCGCACGGTTGACATGGTTAGCGCACGGTTGGCATGGCAAGCCCATGATTGGCATGGTTGGCCCACGGTGGGCATGGTTAGCGCACGGTTGGCGTGGTTAGCGCACCACATTTGGCATGGTTAGCGCACATTTGGCATGGTTAGCCTATGGCTGGCATGGTTAGCGCACGGTTGGCATGGTTAGCGCACGGTTGGCATGGTAAGCCCATGGTTGGCATGGTAAGCCCATGGTTGGCATGGCTAGCCCACGGTTAGCATGGCTAGCCCACGGTTAGCATGGTTAGCGCACGGTTGACATGTTACGCGCATGGTTGGCATGGTAAGCCCATTGTTGGCATGGCTGGCCCACGGTTAGCATGGCTAGCCCAAGGTTAGCATGGTAAGCGCACGGTTGACATGTTACGCGCACGGTTGGCATGGTTAGCGCACATTTGGCATGGTAAGCCCATGGCTGGCATGGTTAGCGCACGGTTGGCATGGTTAGCGCACGGTTGGCATGGTAAGCCCATGGTTGGCATGGTAAGCCCATGGTTGGCATGGCTAGCCCACGGTTAGCATGGCTAGCCCACGGTTAGCATGGTTGGCGCACGGTTGACATGTTACGCGCACGGTTGGCATGTTTAGCCCACGGTGGGCATGGTTAGCGCACGGTTGACATGTTACGCGCATGGTTGGCATGGTAAGCGCACGGTTGGCATGGTTAGCGCACGGTCGGCATGGTTAGCGCACGGTTGGCATGGTAAGCCCATTGTTGGCATGGTTAGCCCACGGTTAGCATGGCTAGCCCACGGTTAGCATGGTTAGCGCACGGTTGACATGTTACGCGCACGGTTGGCATGGTTAGCCCACGGTGGGCATGGTTAGCTCACGGTTGACATGTTACGCGCATGGTTTTCATGGTTAGCGCACGGTTGGCATTGTTAGCGCATGGATAGCATGGTCAGCGCACGGTTGGCATGGTAAGCGCATGGTTGGCATGGTTAGCGCACGGTTGGCATGGTTAGCGCACGGTTGGCATGGTTAGCCCATGGTTTGCATGGTTAGCGCACGGTCGGCATGTTACGCGCACGGTTGGCATGGTTGGCATGGTTAGCGCATGGTTGGCATGGTTAGCTCATGGTTTGCATGGTTAGCGCACGATTGGCGTGGTCAGCGCACATTTTGCATGGTTAGTGCACGGTTGGCATGGTTAGCGCATGGTTGGCATGGTTAGCGCACATTTGGCATGGTAAGCCCATGGCTGGTATTGTTAGCGCACGGTTGACATGGTTAGCGCACGGTTGGCATGGCAAGCCCATGATTGGCATGGTTGGCCCACGGTGGGGATGGTTAGCGCATGGTTGGCATGGTTTGGGCACGGTTGGCATAGTTAGCGCTTAGATTGTTGTGTATCCTGCACAACTAGAGATACCCATGAGCAATGTCAGGGATATTTTCGCGTTATCGACCTTTGGAAACAATATTAATATGCATAAACTGCGAGAGCGCAAACATCGAAACACATTTCACTGTGTCAGAACAATGACTACAGGTGATGTGCAATGACCCTACTCCGAGTGTCTGGCCCCCATCTTACACAATCAGTTCACTCAGGACAGATAAATAATCATCCATCATTCCTCTTATACGTCGATCATAGGGCCATTCTCTAAATACGTGACCTTTGTGAAATGAAGTACAGAATTGAAACAGATCGCGAGGGGCATTCGCGCTCTCCTGTAGATGTCCTAACATATACTACTCAAAAGAAGTTAAGGATCACCTGATTCTTTCATTTTACTATAGTTGATCCATCATGTCATGACAGATTAACTTTACCATTATGAAAGAATCGGGTGATCCTTAACTTCTTTTGAGCAGTATATTTACAATCAAACAGACGTAGGTGTAAACAAGTAAAGGTCATACTTCAATGACGGACCAGATCCAGTCCCCCCCCCCCCCCCCCCCCCCCATCCCCACCACTACCCCAAATCCCACCCCGCCCCACCCGACGCCA